AATAATAAATATTTTATTTTAATTAATAATTAAAAAAATAATTATTTTTATATTTAAAAAAATAGATCTATCCCTACCCTATTTCTTTAGGGGTGATTCAGAAATTTTACCTTTAAACAGTGATTATTGTGAGGTTGTGGCATGAACTTGTAAGTTTGAATAAAAGTGTCGACACAGTGACTGTGTTTCTGGAACTTTCAGATATGGTTTATACTTTATACTTTATAAGCTTCAAGTCGATGTGATAACAGTTTCAAAAGTACTTTTTTGGATAGTGCTTGAGAATTGATTACTCGCACAATAAGCATGTAAGCATATGCATACATAAAACCCAAGTCACAACCAGATTATACAAGAGCTGGCAGACAGCAGCCATATATAAGGTGGGTTTACTAGAACCCAAAGCGCTTTTGAGGTGAGGTAGTATAAAAATTTGTCCTTTTGGGGGGCGGGGGGTGTTTGGGGGAAGGGGGCAAATGATTGTATTATTTCAAATCACATACAGGATACTTCCAATCCCTTCCCAAGCATACTCGGTGTTCTACACTTAATAAAAAAACACTAGCATTATTGTCCAGCATTAGGTGAGTTTATGCTCACTCCTTGATCAAAAGTGTTAAAATGTGAAGTTTTGGATTTAATATTCAAGTATTACTTTTCATCCTCGAAAATTCTCTAAGTTCATAAAAAAATAAAAAAATAAAAAACCACTAGCATCACTTAAAGAACACTAAAGTATCAATTTTTTTTTTTCGTGTAATGGGAAATTTTTTTCGATGAAAGATGAAGAGAGACTTAAGATTAAAACCCAAGTTTTAGTAGTTCTAAATACATCCTGCAATGAGGGACCAGTAAGCCCCAAGTGCTGGACCTAAAGTATCAATTTAATATTGGTAATGTTATAGTTAATACTATAATTTATAATCATTAAATAATATTAAATAAATATAATATATTATATTATATAAATATATAACATATTATAAATAAATTTTTAAATAAAAAAATTAATTATATAAAAACACATTATATTATAAATTTGTAATAACAAATAATATATAATAGCAACATTTTCTACGTAATATATAGGAAAATGCTTTCTGATTCAGCCTATGGTGCTCACGAAGTTACTCTTCCCTGCAAGACTTACATCCACACATCTGTTTTAAAAAAAAAAAAAAATTTTGTGAAGGTTGTAAGTTTTCATTTGGCCATGTAAAGCTTGTAAAGTTCGATGACTAATTGGATAATAAGTAGTGTATCTTTTAATTTAATATGTTTCATAATATATTTATTAAAAAATATTATTTTTAAATTTAAATTCAAAAAAAAATTATTTATAAAATTTCATAATTAAACTGATAAATATTAATAGTTATATTGAATCAAAAAATAAACCAATAATTACCCTAACTAATTACCTTTAAAACTTGAGAGATTAAGCGTCCATATCAGAAGTAATCCCCATGCAAGGGTTTATAGGTATACCCCTCTTTTTGAGGGAATTGGTGTACCCCTCTTTTTGATTTGAATGTAGGCTAACTTTTTAGTCTAGTCAACTCTAGTGGCTTAAAAGGCATTTATGCAGTGGCGAAGCTAGCTAGGGATTAAGCTTATGAAAAAAATTAATTAGGTCTCTTTAATTTTATTTTTATTATTTCATCCTTAATTCTTAATTTATTTCATACCGTTTTGGTTCACTTCTTAATCTATGTTTCACTTTGTCCCTTACAAATATTTTTCGGTTTTGCCATTGAATTTATGTACAAGTTCGCGGAATTAAATTATTCATTTCATTTCGTTTTACATTTCTTAATCTATGTTTCACTTTTCGTTAACACGATTATAGAAAAAATATATAAAATTTCATGGTTGGCACAATTAATAGCAATTGAAATCTCACATTTACCCTTCATTTAAATCTAAAGTGGTATTAAATGTGTTTTTCATTTACTCAATAGGGGTAAAGTTGGAAAAGATGTTTTTAATGCTTTAATTAAAATAGAAATTGATAAATAAATCGAAACATCTATTTTTGAAGTGTGACAAATAAAATAAAAATTAAGGGATTATAATTCAGCCTATCCGGGTTGGAGAAAGTGAATTTCTTCTTAATCATTGCAATCATTTGTTATCAAGTTCATCTCTTCTTTCCGAATTTTAATGGAATCGTTTAAATTAATTCGGGATATTAATATATAAACTCTTCATTGTGGTATAGAGCCAGGATTTTTCTGTTAGAGGCAAACTAATTACTTTTAATAAGAATTGATACTTTTGTAGGTCAATTGAAAAGTTGATGTGGGAAAGAAATTTTGAAAAGAACATTACACTAAATAACATCAATTAGTATTTGCTAATAAAAATCACTTGGCCTTTAATAATGAGCAAATAGTGGTTGATGGTGTGTTATAAAACACCATTAATTGAATGACAAAAATGAACATATATGATGTAGAAGGATGTAATTTAAAAAAAAAAAATGAAAAAAGTAAAAGAATGTAAATGATAATGAGCAAATTTTCAAAATATAATGACTTTCATTAATTGTAACGATTTAATTTTAAGTAAATTTCCTCATTAATTCCCAACTTTTATCAAATAGGATACTTTTGTCTCTAACCTCTATTTTGGAACTTTTCAATCCCAATTTCTTTTTGAAAAGAATGTTTATAACATTAGTTTATGATGGTCTATTGAGATAATCACTAATAGGATTCACTAAATAGAAAAGAAAGTATCTTTTAAATTTTTTTTATTATATTCTATTCATCTTAAAATAATTATCATTTTTTACTCATAATTTATCTTAAATTAATTATCATTAATTTTTCATTTTTAAGGAAAATAAATATTTTTTTCCAACATATTACAATCCCTTTAATTATACACCTTAATTATCACCCAAAATTTTTTTGTTTATATTAATTTTTTAAGAGTAATATAAATAAATACATAAATTATCTTCAAATTCTTACTTTATGGAAAAAACTAAAAAAAGATAGTTGTTTAGAAGTATCTTTTAAAGTTAATCTTTCTACTCAGGTTTTCATAACAATAATTTATAAAACAATAAATAAATAAATTGGAAGGAAGACATTTTAAAGATTTTTAAGTCCCCATCGCACAAAGAAATTTAAAAAGAACTAAAATAATGATAGAATGAAACAAAGTATTTAAAGATAAAAATAATAAAAATGAAACTTAAAGAACAACGTTAATTTTTCCACAAAAAGGCTTGGGTTGCCCCCCCACCCGGAAAAAGACTTGGGGGTTGCCCCAACCACCACCACCCCCGCCCCCGCGGCCGCCATAATGGGGGTCGTCAGCCGCTGACTCCATTTGGAGGATTTCATATTAATATGTCCTATGTCCTCCATAAATTGTACATTTTCCTTGAGATTTTTCCAAGTCATTATAGTTAAGACAATGGCCTACCACGAGAGGTCCGTTAGCATGGAGCAGCCTCAATGTTGAGGGCCTCATATTTGAATTTTGAGATGGTGAGGAAAAGTTTTTGTTGGATAATTTATTATTAGACAAAAGAAAAAAATGTCTATTATGAGATATACTAAAATCTTTTTTATTATACTTATAATATGTTTAATTTAAGGGAAATTGAATGAAAAGAAGGGAGGTGAATGCTTTTTAATTGATCAAATTATATTTTTTTAAATATTACAATTTAATTAGTCAAAAAATTCATTTCTCTTTTTTTTTTTCTCTCTCTCTCAAACTAAATATACCTTTAATTTGATATAAACGATAACTGTAAGTTCCGTAAATATACTTGTAACCTTAAAAGTTGAATGTACTAATTCCTAAAATCATTATATATTGTAAGGTTTTTTTTTTTTTTAATCAACAAAAGAAATGATTTAATAAAAGAAGTAAAAGGGATACCTTAACCCTATACACCACATCTACATTATACCAATCTAAACTGACAAAATTCTCAATTGTGCTCAGGTTTTATCTTGCACATAAATGGGGGAACTGAAGCCAATCACTAAAAGAGAAAATGAGGCCCCTCTTCATTTCCTTTTAGCCACACTTAAGATTTTCCTTGGATAAAGTCTAGCTAGTAGTCTGCCTTTGTCTCACTGCTCTTCATGCAACACAATGTTGTTTCTTGCTGTCCATATAGACCATAAGGTAACACAGAAGATCAAGGAGCCCACATCAACCCTAACTTGCTGCAGAATCCAAACCCAAATTGCAAGCATATCAACTACTGAAATAGGACAAACGAAGCACATTATCCACCATCTGCAGCATTTCATCCTTAAAC